AAGGTTATATAAATGAGTGGAGAGGCAATTAGACAGAAAGGTGAAAATTGTTATCTTAGATAGAGGTGGTGAGTATTATGGAAGATATGATGAAAGTGGACAACACCTTGGTCTGTTTGCTAAGTTCCTTGAGAAGCGTGGTATTTATGCTTAAAACACAATACCAGGCGCACCGCATCAAAATAGTGTGTTTGAAAGGCATAATCGAACCTTCATGGATATGGTTAGGAGCATTTTAAGTAATTCATGTTTACCTATATCGTTGTGGATGTATGCTTTGAAGGCTATCATATATTTGTTGAATAGGATTCCTAGTAAAGCGGTTCCATTCGTTAAACAAAAGTAAGAAAATAAACTGGATGCAAGAACACGCTTGGGGTTGTTAAACAGAAGTGAGAATTTATAATCTGCAAGAAAATAAACTGGATGCAAGAACAATCAGTGGATATTCCATTCGTTATCCAGAAAATTGAAAAGAGTATATGTTTTAATGTCCTACCCGTAGTACAAGAATTGTTGAAACTGGAAATGCTTGGTTCATTGAAATGGTGAAACTAGTGGGAGTGAAGCTTCACGAAATGTGGAGATTAAGGAAGTTAAAGTACAAGTTCCTATAACTATACATCTTCTTCAAGAGTTGTTCCACATGTTGTAGAACCACACGACAATCAAGAAGAACAACAAATCACGATTAATAATGAGCCGATAATAGAACAACCACAAGAAATAGTATTAAGAAGATCTCATAGAAAAAGAAAGTCTACTATTTCGAATGATTACGTGATTTATCTACAAGAGTCAAAAAATGACCTAAGTATTGATAATGACCCAATTTCATTTTCAAAATCCATTAATGGTGAAAATTTTGATAAGTGCTTAGATGTTATGAAAGATAAACTTAAATCAATGGCACATAATAGTGTATGGGATCTTGTGGAATTGCCAAAAGGATGTAAGAGTGTTGGGTGTAAATGGTTCTTTAAGACCAAGCGTGACTCTCATGACAATATCGAACGTTACAAGGCTCGAGTTATTGCCAAATGTTTTACTCAGAAAGATGGAATTGATTATAAGGAAACATTTTCACCTCTTTCTAAGAAAGATTCTTTTAGAATTATCATGGAATTAGTAGCTCATTATGATCTTGAGTTGCATAAAATGGATGTTAAAACTGCATTTCTTAATGGAGATTTAGAGGAGGATGTCTATATGGACCAACCGGTGGGGTTTATTGAAGAAGGAAGAGAGCACATGGTGTGTAAACTTAAGAAATCAATATATGGACTTAAACAAGCTTCTCGAAAATGGTATCTTAAGTTCAATGATACTATTATGTCTTTTAGATTTAAGGAAAACACTATTGATGAGGTGTATATATCTAAAGGTAAGTGGGAGCAAGTTTATATTTTTTATTCTATATGTTGATGATATGTTGCTTGCGACTAATGATCCTTGTCTATTAAGTGAGACCAAGAAGTTTCTCTCTAACAACTTTGAAATGAAAGATATGGGTGAGTCATACTATGTGATAGGAATAGAAATATTTCGTGATAGATCACAAGGACTATTAGGTTTTTCTCATAAAGCATATATTAATAAAGTTGTAGAGAGATTCAGAATGAAGAAATGTTCAGCATCTTCCATTCCAATACATAAAAGAGACAAATTTAGTCTCATGCAATGTCCAAATAATGACTTGGAATGAAAATAGATGGAAAAATATCCCTTATGAATCTATTGTTGAGAGTTTGATGTATGCTCAAACATGTACGAGGTCGAATATTAGCTTTGCAGTTAGTATGCTGGGTAGATACCAGAGTAATCCTGGACTGGATCATTGGAAAGTTGCAAAGAAAGTCTTAAGATACTTACAAGGAACAAAGAATCACATGCTTATTTATAAGAAAGTTGATCACCTTGAGGTGATTGGATATACAGATTTAGATCATGTTAGTTGTATGGATACACGAAATTTTACATTTGGTTATTTGTATCTTTTAGGCAAAGAATGAATTTCATGGATAATTGCGAAGTAGTCTGTCATTATTGCATCCATGGAAGTTGAATTTGTGGCATGCTTTGAGGTCACAGTTCAAGCTAATTGGTGGTGAAATTTTATTTTAGGACTTGGAGTAGTTGACAACATTGCTAGTGAATGTTGAATGTTAATGTTATTATTAATGCTTATGTGACACTCTGAGATCTTTAATATATAAGTTTCTGAAATTTGTGTTTTCTTATTTATTTATATGCATGCAAATTATGATGAAGAGAACAAATTATGTTATTATTATTGAAATGATATTATGTTTGAACTCATTATGGACTTCTCATTATAAAGTCATATTAACGAGAAAGAGATAATATAGTAGTACATGGAAGGGAGCATGTTGATTGAATGACATGTAACCCCTATGACTCTTATTATAGTTGTATCTTTAATTATGAATAATGATAGAACTAATTTATGTAATATCCTTTAATGCGCATTTTGACTTAAATATTAAATCACGAAATGGTATGACATCACATGGGTCAAGTGGAAGAATGTTAGAATTAATTTAATTTATTCATTCTATTATGTGACTTATGTGAAATGTAATGATGAACTCAAATGTGATTTAATAAAATATAAGGACCTATTGATTATTATGGAAAGTCAAAATAAAATAAAGATAAAATAAAATAAAAACTTACGGTAACCAACTTGATGGACGTTGGTTAATAAAGGAGATTAAGGTTCCACCTCTGGCCATAAGGTTCTTTTCACAGTAAACCCTCAAGAAAGTGTGATAAGAGAAAAGAAAGACAGAGAGATAGATTGGGAAAATGAGATTAGAGAACGAGAGAGATTAAAGAACAAATTCTCATGAATCAAAGTTAGTCCTTTTATTATGATTCCTATATGCTATCATGTGAAAGTTAAGAATCTAAAGATCTTGTAATAGTTTTCTGGAATGAATGAGAACGTAAGAAAACAACATCATTAATTTACATGTAGTTCTTTTTTGAAAAAATATTGTTAAATTAAAGGTTTAATATTTTTTATATTTTTAAAAGAAATTTAATTTTTATTATATATTTTTTAAAGAATTGTAAATTATAAGATGTACGAACGACCATACTGGATACACTTGTAAATCGTTATGAGAAAATTTATTTCATCTTATTTACCAAAATAACTTTATTTTGGTAAATAGGACACATGATGATGTATGCAGTCATCCGCATATCTCAAAATTTATTTATTTAAAAATATTTTCTAGAGCACTAAATATAAAACAAGGAATATGACCATACATATATTAAACTGTTCAGTTATATTAAAAAAATGGTGAGCAAAGATTAAAAATAGCGTTATTAAATAACTAATGCAAAAAGATTAAAAATAACATGAAGATTTGGCAATGTTGGGTCTTTCGAGGGGGATTCACTAGGGAGAACAATATCAATGAGACATGAGTCCAACCAACATAAGGGATTGACATCACTCTCAACCCAAAACCTTAAGACATTAGGTTATGGGTCATACTTCCTTATATGTTGCTCAACTTTCTCATTCTTACTCAGTGTGGGACTTAAGTCACACTTAGATACCCAACAATCTCCCCCTCACATGAGCCCTCCACATTAGTACATCCCCTCGAGCTCACTAGTGGACCTTCCATGTATCATCGTTCACTCTAACAGGACATGCTTACCTGACTCACTCTGTCAGGAAGACTTTCGATACATAATCTACTCTAACCCATTGCCGATCAACCTTCGACTCTGATACAACTTGTTAGGTCTTTAGAGGGGGATTCACTAGGGAGAACAATATCAATGAGACATGAGTCTAACCCACATATGAGATTGACACCACTATTAACCCAAAACCTTAAGACATTAGGTTATAGGTGATACTTCCTTATATGTTACTCAACTTTCTCATTTGTGGGACTTAACTCACACTTGGATTACCCAACAATCTCCCCCTCAAGTGTGAGTCCCTTCACATTGGTACATCCCCTCGAGCTCACTAGTGGCCCTTCAATATACCTCCGTTCACTCTAACGGGACACACTTACCCGATCCACTATGTTAGGAAAACTTTTGATACAAAGACCACTCAAACCCATTGCCGATCAACCTTCGGCTTACCCACTGCCGACCAACATTCGATATGATACCACTTGTTTGATCTTTCGAGGGAGATTCACAGGGAAGAAAATACCAATGAGACATGAGGCCAACCCACATAAAGAATTGACACCACTATCAATCCAAAACCTTAAAACATTAGGTTATAGGTCATATTTCCTTATATATTGCTTAACTTTCTCATTCTTACTCAATGTGGGACTTAACTCACATAAAAATAAGGTTGGAAGTTGCAATATCAGATAATAAAAGGCCAAATGCTGCCATTAGCAATATTCAAACAATTACCTTATGAACATCCCAAATAAAGCAAGACAATTAAAACCACCCAACAGAAGACAGAACCATAAATATACGACATCTAGAGTAAATGACTGGATTATTACATCCTGAGGCAACAAACGATTGGAATATGACTTTAGCTAGAAATAGATGTAAGGAATATAGAATGAAAACAAAAGAGCAAGGAATCCAAATTACAAAACCAATTTTTGCCAGAATCAACATCAGTAACACTAGCAAGATTCTAGGTAAAATAACACAAAAATGATCAAATCCAAGCAAGGATAACTACAATCAAAACAGGTCTAACAATCTCACACACGAACAAAACAACTCTAGTAACCTCAAACTAGACAAAATAACTCCAGCAATTTCAAACAAAGGGAAATAAAAACAAAGTGGATGGCCTGCACAATGTCTTGATCAAGAACAAACCCCCTCCCTGGTCAACAGTGGTGGGACCCTCGATCCTATCTCAAGCAAGGATTTGTGGGGAAGGAGCACTCACCAAAGGCTTTCCCTAGCTAGAGCGTACCTAAAGCTTGGAGGTGGTTTGTGGTGGCTAGGGGTTGGTCATGCGATGGAGAGGGGATGAGGTAGCTCAGGCTCGCACAATAAGATCATTTGCGATGGGACAAACAAGGTTAGGGCTCGGTGGAGGGTGCGACAATGGTGAGGTGGAGCGTGCGACAATGGTGAGGTGGAGGATGCTCGTGGTGGCCTTAAGTGGGAGGCTCAAAGAGAAGTGGTAGTTAGGGTTGGGGCTTAGTGGTGGGTTCATGGTGGTTGGCTAGGGTTAGCTGAGTATGGTGGCACAGAGGGCGAAGGTGGTGCGGGTCATTTTGATAGGTTGCAGCGAGGGGATTGAAGGTTAAGGAAAGGCTCGCATGGAGAATGAAGGGAGAGGTGATGTAAGACACAGGAAAATAATTATATATTTTAAGATAAAAATTGGAAGTAAGGGAATTAATTAAATTAAGAATAATTATAATTTTTCTATTATTTTATAATTATTTAGAAAATACTCATGTGTGTGCCTGAACTTTGAGTATGCTTAGGGAATTAGCAAATTTTAATTGCCACGTTTAGAAATTATTGGTTGATGGTTGTTTTCTTGTATGTATTGTGTGTGTGGGTACATTGTAATTTTTGCTATGTGTATGGATTGACAAGAAACATATGATGGTTGTTATAGTTTGGAGTAATGCTTGAGTCTTGGGGGTTATGAGTTTAAATCTTGACTAGAGTAAAAAGGAAGTAATAATATTTTTTTTTCTAAATTCAAGTGGTGTACCTTGGGAGGTGAACAGTTGAGGTAGATACATTGAATCTTTACACAGGCACCAAATTAATTAAGAGAGTAAGTGGGCTAGAAATTGGTAGAGGAAGGGCTTGGATAAGAAAAAATATTAATATATAATTTTTAATTTAAATTTTATTTATATAGTATGGTAAAGGAAAACAAAGGGTCATGAGAGCTAATTGAACCGGTTGATTTCTTGAGTTGTCAATATGGAATTGAAAGGAGAGTCTTCTTGCCATCAATCCTAGGCTAAACCATCATTTATCTCATTCCTACATGAGTTCGAACCAAACAAGAATATTTGATAAAAATTTCGTATGGTTTTTCTAGTGTATTTTTGGATACTCTATAATGCTCCTTTCACATTTTAGAGTTTAGAAATGGATTCTTGTATGCCAAAACCTAGAGTTAGCCATAAAAATCACTTAAACTGGATTTTTCTAGACAAAGATGATGAAAAATGTGTTGAGAGGTGTTGCTGGAAAAATATGCATGTAAACAGAATCTTTGGGAAATTATATAAAACTATCTACTTGGTTTTTAATTCTGAAATTTTGGTCATATGTTCCTTCATATGTCTAATTTGTGTGTGCTTTATTTCAAAATTTTATAACAGGTAGTTTTTCAATGAAAAATCTTGGAAGTGATTAGGTTTTGAGTTGGGAGGAATAGAGTTGTTATGTCCGCCCAACAACTTCAAAAAATCATATAAAATCGAGATTGAAGTGTTTTGAGATGAAATGTTTATCGTAATTATGATTGTATGTATATGTTAAGTATATTTAACTTCGTAATTTTATGACCATTATTTTATTTTATAAAAATATATCTTTGAGTACTGTTCTGGTAGTGAAATCTTCAAAATGATGTTATTCCTATTTTCATTTCATGTTGCTACTGCTACTGCTATTTTATTTTATTGTTGCTACTATCTATATTATTTTGATATAGAATTTGTGGGAGTTATATGTTAAAATCCTTAAATGTAAGGAAAAAAAAAAATACTTGAATTGTGATATGATGTAATTACTTGATAAGTTTAGGCATGTTTGATCTGCGATGAGATGTTGTTTGCATATGTGTGTATATAGGTGAGGGAACAATATGAGTTCTTTGATAACCGTAAAGCCATAATGATTTCTTTACTTAAAGGACTTTGTAGAGTCATGGTAAAGGGATTTCGTTCCTCCGTAAGTCTTTAGCATGACCTTAGCAAGAGTACTCCATCCAAGGCTTTGTCGAGCGGGTGGAGTTGTTGCTAGTAAGTCTATGGAAAGCAGGGGAAGAGACTTTTCCAAGAGGCGTTGGTGCGCACTAAAAGTATGGGGGTTGACTATGAGAGAATTTTATATTGTTTGTTTTTACTTGGTGGTAATACGTTAGGAACTTTTAAAAGAGGCGTTGGTGCGCAGGAAAAATATGGGGGTTGGCTATGAGAGAATTTTATACCGTTTGTTTTTTACTTGGTGGTAATATGATAAAGTGTTAGTGTTGTAGTGTTGAAAATATGTACTTGTGGATATTATGAATGAGTTTTGTTACATTATGATAATGTTAGGTGAATTATATGATGACATGAATGATATGTGATGGGATACATTTTTGCTCACCCTTGCATGTTTGTGGTGTAGGTTTCCACCTGCGATGATCATATGACTTGTGTTATGCAAGAGTAGATGTTGATGCAAATACTGTTAAAGAAGCTTAGTGGTGAGGAGCTCGTGGGAAAGCTTTTTGGGAGTTTTTTTTATGATATTTGAAAATGTCCTTTTGAATATAATGTAATAGTGTAGTGATTTTAAGTTTGTATTGAAAATATTTGATATTAAGTCTCATTTTGATGGTTTAAATTAGTTGTTTGGAAAAACAATATTTTATTTTGACGAATAAAGGGGTTAGGATAAATCTTTTATCAAGTATTATTTGAGATAAAATAATTGTGGAAAAAAAATTATATGTGACATCTCGAAAGGGGTGTTACACGTGAGGGTGGAGAGAAAAGGGAAAAAGTGAGATGGGAGTGGAGGCGTGATGATAATGGTGGCGAGGTGCCATAATGGGGTTTCAAAGAAGAGGTTTCAAAGAAGAGGTCTGGTGAGGGAGAAAGGGAGTGAAGCCTTCCGGGGAAAAAAGAGTGAGTTTCGCGAGAGTGGGGAGACGCGGGTGTGTGTGGATGAGTAAGAGTGAAAGTGTGTGCAATGGAAGAAAAAGAAAATTGAATAGCTCCAAAAAAAACTAAGGAGAAGAGCAAGAAATATACCTTCACTTGTGCGACTTCCTCGGACTAATGTGCACAACCCCTTCCGTAGCCCCTTATGTAGAGAGAGCAAAAAAGGAAAGTTGGAGAAGACAAATTCAAGGAAGAGAAAAAAAAGTCTGAAGAATGTAGGTAGTAGAGTTAAGTTACCAAGCGTAACTTCTAATTGGCACCCGCATTGAAGTCTAGTTTCGACAAGAACTTGCATATCAAGCCCAACTTTCAACTAGCACTTGCATATCAAGACTTACTTTCGATAAGCATTCGCAAATCAAGCCTAACTTCCGATTGACACCCCCGTATCAAGCCCAGCTTCTGATTGACACTCGCATATGAAGCCCAATTCTCAATTGGCAATCACATATGAAACCCAATTCTTGACTGCACCTTCATATCAAGCTCAACCTTCGACTAACACCTACATACCAAGCCAAGTTTCCGACTAACACCCACATATAAGGCCTAGTTCTCATTATGCCTGCATATAAAATCCATTTCCTAGCTAGCACTCGTATATCAAGCTTAACTTCCAATTGACACCTGCATATCAAGCATAGTTCCCGACTAGCACCCGTATACCAAGCCCAAACTTGCTTTATTTGCAATGTTGGTAATATGGGTATCTATTTAAATATTGATAATCGCGGCTTTTGGCTTTTCGTTATCCAATTTAGCAACTTCCAACCTTAGTTTCTATTTGATTTAGTTTAACAGAACATCTGGTAATTTATGCATGCACTGATTCTTTTTTCACACACTACCAAATCTTAACGTTATTTTTAATCTTTTTGCACCAATTCTTTAATATAACTGAGCAGTTAAATTTTCATTTGTGTGTTAAAGAGTCGCTTAAATAAATATATGGTTGTTTTTATCATTATATCAAGTGCTTATTATTTTAAAAATATTTTTAAATAAATAAATTTTGATACACGGATATGACCGCACACGTCATCATGTACGTTTTACTTATCAAAATAAAGTTATTTTGGTAAGTAAGATAAAATGAGTTGTTTGAATACATGTATGTTGCCCACATCATCTTATGGTCATTCATTAAATTTTCTCATAATGATTCATAAGTGTATCCAGTACTATCGTTCACACCATCCTACACTTTGCAACTATATAAAAAAAGTATAATAAAAACTAAATCTCTTTTAAAAATAGCAAAATTATCAAACCTTTAATCCAACACACAACTTTTCTAGAAAGACCTGGGTAACCTGATTTTCCATCACCAACAAAAATATGTAGGAGCAAGGTCAATTCTTTTAGAACCCAAATAAATAATTTTCAAATTTTTTTTCTTTTCTCTTTCTTTCTTTGTTTGATATTGGGGGAAAATAAGTATTTTAAAAAATGACACTATTTTGCATATTTAACTAAGGATAACCATCTTAGGACAAATATTGTAGGGTGTTAATACCTTTCCTACATGCAATGTACTCCCAAACCCAAATCTGGTTTCTAATATCATTTTCTAAAAAAAGGGTTTTCATATATTTTTCCTTAATAAATTATGATGGCGACTCAATTTTAAATAATATATTTTTTCCTTTTTTCATTGTGATCCTGATTGCGACAAATAACGACTCCACTAAGGATGACATTGGTTACAGAGTCAAACCTAATTAGTTGAATGTGTAAAATATGTTATTTTTATATGTTTGTTCCCCCTTGCTTTTTTTTTTTCTTAAATATTTGTCCCTATTGCTAATAATAAAATTGTTGAACTATTGAACCCTAGGGTAGGGATAGCTGTTATATCTACTTGTGAATTTTCTGATTATTTTGCTAATGAGGGGTTTGAGTATGCATTGTTTTCTCCCTTCACATATGCACTGCTACATGTTTTCTTGTTGAGTGGGGCTCTCTACCCAGGTTTGAGTGAACTTAGAAATAAAGGGGTTGTGTAACAATGTCACTTGGGATGTACTTCCTCTTTAGCTATTGTGAGAATCCCAACTATAGTTACTATCTTCATTAGTATTCCCATCTCTTGTTTACTTCCAACTGTTATGGGAAACACTGTGAAGTGAGTCATAGCTTTAGTGACCTTGTACCCTTAAGATTAGGAGTCAAACCTTGGTAGTATGCAAGAGTTGTCCTATATTTTTAAGTTTTACTCCATGAACCATGGTTAGGCACAAAGGGAGATTTTTACATTCATGTACCTCTCACTTTTGCTTTTACATAATAAGTGTACTACACTTGCATTACATTTTTCATATGTTGCATTGTTTACATTTTTGTCGTGTCATAAGAGGAGAATGATTTGATTGAGAGATAGATTCATACTATTTCTCCTCATGCATTTCATACATTCAATTTGACTTATTGACTTAGTCTATTTTTGGTGAGAAATCATAGAGTTGTTTGTTTAATAATGGTGAAAGATGGAAATTAATATAAGATCTCAAGGCAAAAAAGAATCCAATTCGGCTTCAATTGAGATTACCTTACATGATTTGAACTTTTATTAATTTCCACAATCATCAGTAGTGCAACGATATTCGTACAACTCTATGATTTCTTACCAGTTCTTTTTTCTTTTTGTGTTTTGTTTACTTTTCATACTCATTTCCATCTAATTCATGTTAATAAAAATAAAATAGAAAAAGTGAAGTCGTGTGTAGGAGATAACAACTAAACCACTTCAACACATCTTACAATGGGGAATGTGTTTGGGCAACTAATTTGCAAGGCCTCAAGTCCTTGTACCTCCGAAAGCTTTACACATGGTGATGGGAGAAGAATCTCAAATGAAGCTTCCATTTCAAACTATCATGCCTGGGGTGGCCATTGAAATTGATGGATCTAGCGACAAGTTGGTTATTCCATAGGAGAGGATAAGTGTAATTGAATGAGGTGGATTTTATGGCTTTGAGGATCCTGTGGGATTTTGTTTAGTGCCCGACATCATCGTACCACAAAAGTTAAAAGTAGAAAAAATTAAAACGTATAAAGGGATCACTTGCCCCAAGGGCCCCTTAATCATATATTGTAGGAAGATGACATCCTTTACTCATGAAGACAAGATGTTAAACCATTTTTTCCAAGACAACTTGTCCAACCTAACTCTAAATTGGTATATGCACCTTGAACCTGCTCACATCCATTCTTGGAAGGACCTGGTAGATGAAACCAGGAATGTTTTTCCAAATGCAAACTTCCCACAAAGAATTTCAATAGAGGGTCAAGCCAAAGTTCAAATCCAAAGGGAGGTTATAATTGTTAGAATTGCGTAGCAGAATGATTGCGATTGCGGAAAAAACCAAGAGGGGGAGGGGGTGAATTGGTTTCGTATAAAAAATTAGGGTTTTAAAATTTTTCCCAAATTTCACCAATTAAAATACTTGTAAAGTAAAGAGAGAAATGATAAGAAGATTACACAAGTGTTTTATACTGGTTCGAATCAAAAGACCCTGCGTCTAGTTGCTAATCACTCTAAAAGAGGACTAACGCTGACACTATAATCACAGTTCAAACAGATTACAAATACAAAGATAAAGATTAGAAAGCACCTCTCTTGAGTCACACAAGAGATGAGCACCTCGCTTGAAACCACAAAGGATGAACAACAACTTTTCCTAAAGACGTCACAACACACAATCCACCAAGAGTCCCACTCAGTGATTCTTATCGCTTCAAGCCCACACTAGGTTTCAAAATCCCCTTTTTCTTCCCTATAGAAAGTTCTCTAGCAATCACAACTCTTAACTTTTGTATGAAAAAGGTTTTTTATTTTGTAGAGAACCTTAGAGAACCTTAAGTAGAGAGAATAGGGTCTGGGAAATAAAGGTTTTCGAAACTTGAAGCATTGGTAAAAGATTTCTTGAAAATTGATCCAAATTTGAAATTAAAAATTTATAACAGATGTAGATAATCGATTATCTTAAGTGATAATCGGTTATTACAAAACCATTTTCGCATAGGAGTAAAACAAAACTAGGATAATCGATTATCTGGCTTGATAATCGATTATTCCAGCAAGGTTTTTCATAAAACAGATTTCAAAGCATGATAATCGATTATCCTGAGTGATAATCGATTATTAAAGAGTGGTTTTGATAAAAATGAACTCTCAGAAGATGAACTATGTGTTGGCTATCTTGGACTCTAATTTTACAGACTCAAAAGTATAAAACAAAGTTATTACAAGTAAATACAAATGCTTATAAGTCTTCAAGACTTCAAGTCCTTTGCTCTAGAATCATTGTCGCCGCCTTCCCGAAAACGGGCGCGCGGTCGGAGCGACGCGATGGTTTTTCGACTCTTCTTCGATTTTCGCGTGTTTTATTGGTGGTTACAACGCCTTTAGGCTGTCCGATAACCGGGCTAACCTAGGGGCGAGGTTTTCGAAAGTATCCCTGGGTTGTCCGATAACCGGGCTAACCCAGGGACTTATTTATTTTAGGTTCTATGGAGTCGCCACCGATGTTTTTACCGGAAACATCGGAAAAGGGGTTTTAAAAGGCATTGGTTTTCGAAAACCAACTTTGGTCATTAGAACCAGAGTTGGGTAAGGGAGTTGGTTACGTGCAAAGGGAGTATTAGTCCCTTTACGACGCCCCTTTCGGGTTCCCTATGACAGGCCGGCTTATTTTACTGATAAACTAGAAAAATACACTTTTGCCCTTTTTATTCTGCGGAATTTAAAAGTATGACTACATGGCCCTAATATCTATTGCATAATTTAAGATGAAAACGGTAAAGATGAAGGGAGAGAATTTGAACCTTCGAAGCACGCTTTTTATATTAATTCTCTAAAAAAATAGGGTGCTTTATGGCAGCCCTTCACTCTACAAGACGTCGGAAAACCTCTCGAACGCCGAAAAATCACTCTTGAAAGCACTCAGAAACTCCGGAAATGCGTCGGAGGGATTCTAGAGAGAAGTTTTTAGAGAGAAGTGAGAGCTATGCAGTTGTGGTGTGTGAAAATGAGGGGGGGAGAGCCCCTATTTATAGGTTTTCGCGCTGTCAGGTGGCGAGACCGCCGGTCTCGTCTGACAGGGTTGAGACCGCCGTCTCATCCAACGAGATCGCTGTCTCGTCCTGTCAAAATGCCGAGACCGCCGTCTAGGTGAACGAGACCGCCGTCTCGTCCTTCGTAGGTGGCGAGACCGCCATCTCGTTAAGCGAGACGGCGGTCTCGCCTCCTACGCGAGGCGAGACGGCGGTCTGGGTTGTCCAGAAGGCGGTCTCGTCCCTTCGAAGCGAGAAAACTTATTTTTTGGTACAGAAACTCCCTCCTATCCTAGTATGGGGCCTAATAGTCTCTCCTAATGGCTTGTTAGGCTTATCCATCTTCAAATAGGAGGTCTTCTGCTCTTTATTTGGAGGCCGGGCAAGATTTGGGGTCTATAGTTGCCCCCCCTTTACCCGTCCAGTCAACTGCTGGCCTTCTGTGCCAGGATGATCGACTGGGGGGTAAAGGAGTTGACCCTCTTGCCCGGTTGCCCTTCAGACGTCCCGTCTTGCGGCGGTTGATCTTCTGGGGAAGACTTTGGTGTTCGTGCACTTCTGAGATACTGCTTCTGGCGTAGCCGATCCCTTCGGTGAACACGTGGTAAGACCTCAGGAACTCCTTCTGACGGAGCCGATCCTTCGGTTGATGGGTACGAACCCCCATCTGGTTTGACGAGTACGAACCCCTGCCCGGTAAGCCCCCTTTTGTAAGGCTTGATGAGTTTACACCCCCATCTGGTGCTTGACGAGTACTAACCCCCGCCCGGTAAGCCCCCTTTTGTAAGGCTTGATGAGTTTACACCCCCATCTGGTGTTTGACCTCCGGATGCTCCATCTTGCGGCGGTGATCCTTTGGTTGACGAGTACGAACCCTCGTCCGGTTTGGTGCCTCCGGACGCCCCTTTTGCGGTAGGCTGGTCCTTTGGCGATGGTGGCGGCTTACTGATTCTGATCATGCGTCGGCTTCCTGGGGAGTGATTTCTGTGTTTTGGTAATTGTGGTTGGATTTTTCTGGAATGGTTATCCGGGCTGCGCTGGGGATTTTGTGTTTCATCCAGCTTTGTTGGTTGCTGGGGGATTCTTTGTTTTTGTTCTTTTGGTAGTGATCATCCGACTCTGACTGGTTGGTCGGATGGATCTTGGTTTTGTTCGACTCTTGTCGAAGCTTTGTTGTGATGGCTTAATCCTGCCTTTTTCTCGCGGTTTTATCTTTTTTTTCTCACGATTTTGGATTCTGGCTTTTTATTGAGCGTGTGCCTTTTTTCCTTTTAAGCTTCTTTTCTGTTACGCTGGCTTTTGCGAAGGGAGGCAAAAAGATGCATGAAATAGAATTTTATTTATTGGGAAAATTTTATTACAACTTTATTTTTGGAGCTACTATCCCTAGGGGCTATCTTCTGGGCCTGATCCCTGGGGAGGGTAATGCTGGTACATATGGTATCTGAAGTCCTCCTGCTCTTGGACTTCATCTTGGTACCTCTGCTGAAAAGTTGCCCAATCCTGGCGCATGCTTTGTTGGTACTGGTACATTTCCCCCAGTCGGGTGTCAAAGGCCTCCTGCCTTTGGGACAATTGCTCCACTGTTTGGGATAGATGCTCATGCCTCTGGGACACCTGTTCTTGCCTCACAGTCATACCGTTGAGCTGCTGGCATAGGTCGTTCATGTGGAGGTGCATGCCGGCGAAGTCGTACGCTATACGGGGCGGCTGCTGCTGCTGCTGTTGCTTGCTTGGACGTTCGGAGATGTAGGCATTTCCTGCATCACATCCTGGAGTTCCAATGCGAAATCCAGGGTGGGGTGGAGAGCCAGCTGGCTCCCTCTGCGGATCAGCATTCCCATGCTGACCAAGATCGTCCCGCCGATGGATTCGGGTCGCAGATTGTGGGCCAGCTCTTCCCAGCTAGGGCACCCAAACCTTTTTGCTAAGGGGGTGATGAGGGGAGCAATGAGGACGGCTCCTGCAGATCTGTTCTCGAAGTCCTTGAGGCTCTCAGGAAGAAGTACCCGGGGTTGCAGCGCCGCCTTTGGCTCATGCAGTATAGTATGAAGAGGTCGGGGAGGGATATTTTGCCCTGGCTCTCTTTCCTCCGTGTATAGTTCCGGCCGGCGGCTTGTGGCGGATGCGAGTGCTTGGGGGAAGCGCGAGATCCCCTCATCGGCATGGGCAATGTGGTGGCTCCCGTGAGCTCACGCCACATCTCGGCGGCGAGTAAGGTGGGCGGGCCGTGAGCGGATGGCGTCACGGTACTCTCGGGTCATGGCCTCCTCGGGCCGGACGAACCCGATGGCCACGTTGAATTCTCGGAGGGTGGAAGTACGG